GGGGGAGGCGAGTCCAGTCTGGGGGTTTGGAGGCTCCAATCCACCCACCCCACCCTCCAGCACCAGCTGGGGAGCTCCAAGAATGAGCTTCCTCCACTGCCTTTCCCCCCTCCTATTATGAAAACAGCAGGCACTGGCAGAGAGCCCAGCCATTGCTATGGGAACCTGGCTGCAGGCTCCCTCCCAGCCGCAGCTACATTTCCCTCTCCCCTGGAACCAACAGTGAACTTCTGCTTGGTCTGGGGTAATGTCACAACTCAGAACGCTTTGCAAAAGTAGTTCAGAGTTACAGCTGGGAGCTGCACTTCCATCTACACCCTGGAGTGACATTCTATTACCATTTGGTCATGTAAGGGTGATATTCCATTTCTATGTGGCCATCTTTGTTGGTGTTAGGACAAATAATCGAGAAAATCTAATGATACAGAATCTAGACCAGAGGCGGGCAATTATTTTGGGGGGAGGGCTGCTTACCCAGTTTTGGCAGACTGTCAAGGGCTGCATGGGTAGCCCCGCCCCTTGACAGGTGTCCCCCACCCCCCCGGTCACCATCCTGGGACCAATGTCCCAATATCTCAGGGCCAGCACTGGTGGGACCCAGAGCAGGGCGCAGGCTGGCAGGGGTCTGTGGAGCCAGGTTGGGCACCAGCAGGGAGAGGGGGGAGCTGGCCCGGCTCCATACAGCCCCTGCTGGCCAGGATCCTGCGCTCCTGCCACCTTGCTCTGAGCCCCACTGGCACAGGCCCCTGGACACTGGTGTGGGCCCTGTGCTCCTGCTGGCTCCCCACCTGCTCGCACCCAGTGTCCCCCAGCCCTGTGGTACAGGCTGGGGGCAGCGCACAGCCCCAACCCCCAGGTTGCTGGCAGGGAAGAAGCTGGTGCTGAGCACAGGGAAAAGCAGCCCCTCGCATACCCCATGGCTGTGCTCCCTCCTGCAGATGCTCGCAGCCCACATGGGGTTGTCTGGAGCAGGCACAGGCAACCTCATGCGGGCTGCAGCGTGGGGCGCTGGCCCTGGGGCAGGTGGGGGGCCGCTTTTCCCGGTGCTCAGCACCACCTTGTAACCCACCCCACTGCCAGCCAGGTTACAAGGTGGTGCTGAGCACAGGGGGCAGGGGGGAAGCAGCCCCTCACCTGCCCCATGCCTGACGCCCCGTGCTGCTGCACCTGCAGCATGGGGCACTGGGCATGGAGAGGCCACTTCCTCCCCCTGCACTCCTTCCCTGCTCGGGGTCCCTCCCGCTCCCACTTACCTGAGCTTCCTGCATTAGGGCAGCCACGTGCTCCCAGCCCAGAAACCCTGCCTGGGCCTTCTGGCTGGGGGGCAGGGCTGCTGTTTTTAGAGCAGGCTGGGCCTCCCCTGGGTCCTATTGCCCTTGGTTCCTGCATTTTTGATAGGAACTAGGGGCATAGAAATATTAATTTCCTACATTTTTTTTAGGGGCCCCGCAGGTCAAATAGAATGGCTGCATTGGCTGAATCCGACCTGTGGGCTGTATTTTGCCCACCCCTGATCTAGACCATCAAATGGTAATAGGATGTATCCCATGGTTTCTATTGGCCACCTATTAGTACATCAATTACCTACTCTTAAGAGTATTCTCAGTGTTGTGACAAAACTAAGGCTTGTGGAATAAGCCACCATATTGGATACAATAAAAACAAATGGTTACTTTTCAAAATATTTTAAGCCCTATAAAACTCCCTCGATAATATTAATCAAATATTGGGAGAACTCACATATGGAATTCAAGGCACAATGAATAATTCATGTTTCATTTGAAATGCATCAACTTTATATACTTTCTCTATATGCTAGTTTCTAATGACTGGCATGCAATACAGGTATACATTGCAATAACTTAAAAGAAAGTTTCCAGCAGGACAAGTGAGCTACATCAAGAATTTATTTCCTTTATATGACAGGAATACTTATTTGAATGAAGCGTTGACTTATTTTCAAATGATGAATATTAATTTGGCATTGAACCTATAAAAGTTACAGTACAGCTTGTCTTAAAAATTACAGAAAAATATTGGTAGATTGAGTGTTTTATACGTTGTTATACTCACCCAAACATTTTACAGGAATAAAGTTAATTTTGTTACACACAAAAAGATGTTGCAAAAATGAATTCTTTTAACATTTTCAAATGCAAAAGTGCTTTTTCTTGGCCAAAGTTTTATGTTTGATAAGATTGTTACTTTGCTATTAAATTCGGTGGCAGTAAAAGAGCTTGAAGTGTATATTGCAGAACCCACAATATATTTAGGAATCCCTTTTTTTTTTAATTTTGAAAGAGCCCTGTAACTGGTAAATATGTTAGGCTTTAATGTCAACATGATTATGGTATGCACTTCCAAAAATGTATAGAACATCTGTTTCTCATAATTGTGAATCTTAGTTGGCACAAATTAACAAAATTTAAATTAAAATACTCTATACAGACAACCAAAAAACCATCAGTAATTTACAAAAAATAATAAAATAGTAAGGTTTCTAAAACTCAAAAAATAATTAACATCATAAAACCTTATTCAAAGAATGTGTGTAAGACAGCCTGAGAACTGCTTTCAGACAGTCATCCCAATGTAATTATATAACTATATGCACTGATCCCTTACAGTAGTGGATGGATTTTCTGAAACAAGCTTTACATTTATAACCCTCAAGCATTATATATTCACAATTTGGAAAGAAATGGAAGGTCTTCATACATATCCGTTTTTAATTTTAGCCAGTCACTGAACCTCTGCAAAGTTGTTCTTTCTTGTGTTAATATTTTGGCAGCTTTTTTCAGTTTTTCTTCATTTCGTTCTAAATATCGAATTCCATCGGTCTGTAACTGATTGAGCTTTTCTTTACGATTTTCATCCAGAGGTATGTCTTCATTCATAAGAGGGTTAAATCTGAAATACGTGTCTGCAGGTAACAGGGCATCCAGCATAGCATGGACTTCTGGTTTTAGAAAAAAACATAGTAAAACGTTATACTTTTGCACTTTTCTTAAGACAGTTAACAAATCAGTTTGAGACATTTTGCTTGCATTTTAAATCTCTAAGCTTTGCTGCCTAGCCTAGCAAAGCTTCCTTTCCATACCTGCATAATTTATTCCCCTTTTTTTAATCACTGCCCACTGTACTAAATGTGAGGGATGGTCATGGTCTTTGTCAGTATCATAATATGCTTTATAAATGTAGGAACTTTCTAAATCTATGAATACCTGCACTGGCTCTAAATTAATCAATAGCTTATCAAAATGTATTAAATTGTTAAAGTCTACAGTAAAGTACTTTCAAAGACTTGCTTCTTATCTCCTAACTGCTTCTCACACTGGACTGGTTATACAGAGGAGCTGTCTCACTTTGATCTCAGGTGTTTTTGAAATCCCACAAGAGCCTTGACTGCTTGCAGCTAGCTTGAGTGCAATAAAGTTCCACAGTACCGGCCAATTCAAATTCATCTTCTTTTATAAGAGTCAAAATAAGAGTTTTATCTTCCAGTTTTATTTGACACAGTAACTAGAAATGTTCTGTAGATAGCTTGGCTGTACCAGGTGTTTAGTTCAAGTGTGTGCTTTAAGTCTCCTGCTGGTGAGAACGTGGCCTCCAAACAGCAGAATTTCATACATTTGTATTTACATAATAAATATTCTGTTACCAAATGCCATTCCTATGCTCTTATTCACGTATGCTAGATTTTGTGTGTACACTAAAATTGTAGAAATCTGATAAGCTAGCCAGCTCTGCAATGCATTTAAATACATTTCAATTTTCTTTCCCATCATCCTCCATACCTTTAGGCACTGTTTTTTCTTTCTTTATTACTTTTTTTTTTTCTCTCCCTCCCTTTTGGATTCTTCCCTTTTGTCTCTTTGCTCAATCCTTTCATTTCTACCTTTCTCCTTTATTTCCTTCTTCCCTTTTCTCCATTTGCACTTTTCCCTCTCATTCCTTACTCCTACTTTCCTCATTCTTTTACTTACAAACTTTTTCTGCTTTTATATACAAACTTAAAAAATGGAAATAACTCAGCCAAACCTGAAAAAAAATATGAAAAGGATTTTAACACACTCCTGTGAGAATCTCCTCAGCTTAATCCTTCCTCTTCATAGTTTCATAGTTGGTAGGGTTGGAAGGGACCTGAGCAGATCATCAAGTCCGACCCCCTGCCATGGCAGGAAAGAGTACTGGGGTCAAACGACCTCAACAAGGTGACTGTCTAGCCTTGTCTTAAAGACCCCAGGGTAGGAGCCAGCACCACTTCGCTTGCAAGTTGGTTCCAGATGCTAGCTGCCCTGACAGTGAAGTAGTGCCTCCTGATGTCTAATCTGAATCTACCCTCTGTCAGCTTGTGACTTATTTCTAGTCACTCCTGGTAGTGCTCGGGGGAACAGGGACTCCCCCAATGCCTGCTGGTCCCCTCTGACTAGTTTGTAACAGGCCACTAGATCCCCCCCTCAGCCTTCTCTTGTGGAGGCTGAATAGGTTCAGGTCCCGTAGCCTCTCCTCGTAGGGCCTGCCCTGCTGCCCCCTGATCATATGGGTGGCCCTCCTCTGGACCCTCTCCATGTTGTTCACATCCCTCTTGAAGTCCGGCGCCCAGAACTGAACACAGTACTCCAGCTGCGGCCTGACCAGTGCCACATAGAGGGGGAGGATCACCTCCCTGGACCTGCCTGAGATGCATCTGGATGCTTGACAAGGTGCGGTTGGCCTTCCTGACTACATCCCCATACTGCCGGCCCATGTTCATCTTGGCATCAATGATGACTCTTGTCTATAACTTGGTTAGATGTCTCTCTCGTTTCCTTGCCACCAACCAACCTAGCCTCTATTCACTGTCCCCCTCCACCCTAGAGTTACTTGGCACAATCCTTTTTCTAGATATTCTCTACTCAACCCTCCTTGTCAAATCCTTTCCTTCTATCTCCCTCAATGATCTTCAGTTTATCCCTGCTTCCAATCAAGTATCTCATTTGACTTCGCCACTACCAACTTGCTAACTGGTCTGCCCCGAGCACTAGTGGCATGCCCACAAAACACATGGAGCAGCCACAGTATTTTTGACTGCTGTAGCAGGACATGGCAAATTTATGCTTAAGACATAGTCTTAGTTCGGATTTCTTTTCTATGCCAATAAATGATCATCAGCTCAGCCACCCTTTTACCTCCTCATTCCATACAGCTAAGCAACAGAGTAAACCTAACACACAAAATCCAGCTATTTTTACTGAACAGTTTCCTTTTGCTGCCTTCTTTAAACATGGACCTGAGCCGCACTTCTAGAAAGCACAGGTACTTTTTAAACCAAAGTATCATGTTACAGGAAATCAAGCTCCAAAGCAAAACCAGTTCAGTTTTGCTCCTAAATCTGAGCATTGTTCTGAACAGTCTCATTTCTGGGGGTATAAACAGTTAATTAAGCTTTTTCAGCATGTTCCCATGCAAGGGCCAGATTTTGTTCTTAGGTGTGTGTGCTTCCTTCCCACTGACATCAATAGAAGACACGTTCACAGGCAGTGTATCAGACACAATCTTGTCAATCTTAGGGAACAATGCAACAGAACACACAGAAAAAACACAAATAAAAGAGGGGCATTTAAAGTATGTCAGGAACAAACAAATGTTCTGAATTAACTTCTTCAATTCTTTTTGTGAAAAAATGGAGACAGTCTCTCGTACAGAAATTAATTCCCAAAGCTGCATGCATTATAAAGCAGTAATTATATTAAAAAGAAAAACCTCAAACCCTCAAAAACACTGTTGATTACTCCCTTTTTCAGCTTAATTCTTGGTCTAATTATTAAAATCCATATACAGTATTGTCTCTCTGTCCCTAATGTATGTTCACTGTTGGATATTCATCCTTTAAGGAGAACTTCATAATAGTATAATCAATGTGCAAGTTCATGGATATAATTTAAATGCATTTCTCCTTAGCAACATCATCAGCCAGTACACAGTTATAATATTAATAACTAAAAAAAATGCAATTAGATAGGTAAAATATACACCTAAAACAAGACAACAAGAAAACTTCTGTGATTTGGTGAAAATATATTACTAACACATTAGCATTTAAATAAAAATGTTACTGCTTTTGTCTACTTTGATTTTGTTAAACTAAATTTACTTTGATTTTGATCTAAACAATCTGAAATTCACCACGGACGGCAGATAAAATGATTAGCAAATGTGAAAAAACCGTGATAAAATGCTCCCTGGACTGAAACAAAAGCACTATGATATTACTTTGAGTATGTAAGGTATATTTACATTTTCTCTATTGTATATCTTTTCTGATTTACTGAATTTTGATTGGTGAAATTTGATGCCCAAGAAAACAATTAAAAATGGTTAATGCAAACATGAAGAGATAAATGATTAAACACTAACCTTCAGTATCAGTTGCACTGCTGATAACATGTGAAAGTTTGGTTTTCAAACTTGTGTATGTGACATTGTTCTTCCCCACATTTTCATATCGGCCAGTACCCAATGAAATTAAACACTGCAGCGGAACATCTGGCCAAAGACACTTGCACTCATGGATAGCTAAAGCAGAAGGATTATTCAGAAGCAGACCTCCATCCTGTAAGTTAAAACCAATGCATACATATTGAGCTGTTTGGTATTTTTACTTAAAACTGTGTGGATGAAATATAAGTCAACAAAATGACTTTTAATGGTCTTGATGTTCCACTAATAAAACTAATGCTTCTTTAGGCAATTTTGCTGTACACTAACTACCCTGGTTTCTTTTTTTCTATTTTGCAGCCCTATTTTTAGTTCTTTTCAAAATCACAGATCCACCCATACAGACCAATCTTCAGCTGCAATTAGGGCTGCAGCTTTTGCCTGAGATGGCAAGGAAGTGAGAATGCACTGAAAATTAAGCTGTCCCTGGTCTACACAGCCACAACTCTGGAAAAAACGCTTTTTCTTTTCATTCTGCATTCGAAAAAACAAGGTGACTGCCTTGTGTGTGTGTACAATATGTAAGAAAATATGGTACCACTATTTGAGTAATTGAAAACTTGGAAACAGATGATCTTCTTAAGAGGTACAGTATTATCTGAGACAAACTCCTTGAGCACTTATTTATAACATGTAGGAAAAGGAAGGGGGGAACTTAGTACCGTTCCACTACTGTTAATATGAAATCATTCTTGGAATTTTTAATTACAGATAAATATTTATTAACTTTAGAATTTTTTAATCCAACCTGGAGGAATTCTATAAAGATTTCATAAATAAGAGAGGAAGTCATCACAGAGAAAATAATTACTTAGGTCTCCTCTGCATATGCAGATAAAGGCGCAAAGGGATCTAATGCATGATTCACACAATCACACCTCCTGCTGTGCAGGAAGCATGACTCTGGGATCGTGCGTTAAATCCCATTGTACCTTATTGCTGGTGCAGGGGGAGACCAATCATGAGACCAATCCCATCGCTGGGAGCCCCATGCAACCCAGTTGAGGGGTTCCCAGCCACAGGGTGGCCCATGCACTCCCAGGACTGGAGGATTACTGCTGCGGTTATCTTCCCACCCCAGGGATGCCAGAAACTGCTTCAGGGGTGGCGATCCTCTGGCCCCAGGGATTTCCAGCACTCTGGAACCCTAGGGGTCACAGCAACCACTGTCCCCACAATGTAGATTTTTCACACACCTCTGAGCCCAAGGGATCATGGCAGCTCTGATCCTCAGGGTCTTGGGGTTTCATGCAAACCCCTGGACCATGGGGATTGCGGCTGCTGTGACTCCTTGGGCTTGGGGGTTTTACACTGGGCATGATGCACCGCTGAAGGCAGGAGCCCCATCAGCTGATGGGGCTCCCAGCCATAGGGACGACCCTGCTACATGTGTAAATTAAAGCCTGGTAACAACCAGCTATAAAGTTAATATATATTTTCAAGGTCTAACGTTAGAGTTGGTTGGAGCTTTCTATTGTGTGATAGCTACTTTGCAAATGTAGTTGGTCTCCACGTAATTGGACAATTAACTAGTTAACTGCATGATACCTGTAACATGTACAGGGGACCTTAGGGACAAGCAGTCCTGACTCTGCATATAACAAAAGTAAAATAATAGAAAAGTGCCAGTAACTAATACACACTTGATACTTTAAAAGGATCACATTTTCACAATGCCTAATCATTCACCAGGCATACTAGCTGATACCAATCCAAGAGCCAATTTACAGGAGAAAAGCTGGGCAGTGTAGAGAGCAGCTCCCTGCAGGTAAGTCTGTGGAAGGGAACAGGCATAGGTGGAACAGATCAAGGTCCCTACAATGAGGGAGGAAGTGGGGCAGGGGCAGGCTGGGGTTGGGGGCACTGCCCAGCTAGAGCAGTGAATGGCCCCCTGGGCCTGGGGCAGGGAGTGGGACAGAGCTGCAGGTGGCTCGTCCAAGGGATCACAGTCTCAGCGCTTAAAAATGGCGGTGCAGCTGCTCTGGCTCTGGATGCCCCAATATATTGGTGTCTTATCAAATCACCACTGATAGAAGGAAAATTAACATTATCTGCTTTTTTTGCTGATGTAGCCAATAATGTACCAATAAATAAAATATGCCCAAATATGCCATTTGATGAGCTTTAGTGCAAGTACCACTTTTAAGACGGGGATGCTTTTAGGAGAGGAGCCGAGCGGAGCGTGGACGGAGGCAGGCTGCCCGCTGTGGGCTCGGGGCTTTCCGCCCTGCTGTCTTTGCCTCGGGAGCCATGCATTGACCAAGTGCACAATTCGCTACCCCTACTGCTACTGGATGGGCAGCGGACGTATGGCTCCTGGGGCAAAGGCAGCAGGGGGGAAAGCCCCAAGTCCACAGCAGACATCCTGCTTCTGCCCCATGTAGAAATCTGGGGAGGCGCATGTCCCTCCCCATGCCTCTCCTCACACACCCTGGACAAACCACCCACAGCTCCATCCTGCTCCCCACCCTGGGGTCCCATTCACTGGCCTTACTGGGCAGCACCCCCAGCCCCAATTCCACTCCCTCCCTCACTGTGAGGGCCTCGATCTGCCCTCCACACCACACCCCTTCCCTTCCCAACATCCCTTTCTCTCTACAGACTTACCTGCAGGGTGATGCTCTCTACAGTGCCCAACTCTGCTCCTGGCAATGCGCATGCTGTGGCTATGCACATGCATGCGGCGTCTGGGGGCTCTGGCCAGAAGGCATATTTTATTTATTGGTACATTATTGGCTACATCAGCAAAAAAAAGCAGATAATGTTAATTTTCCTTCTATCAGTGGTGATTTGATACGACACCAATATACTGGGGCACCCAGAGCCATCCCTCGGGGGTGTGCAGGGCCTGAGGGGGGGATGGGGGACGGGTAAGCAACCAGAGCCAGCAGAGAGAGAGAGAGAGAGAGAGAGAGTGGGGGGGCAGCACTCAGCTGCGGCGCATGGTGGCCATGGTGGGGCCCATATGGCACTGTCTGCAGGACCCCCAGAGTCGCCCTGATTTGCCCCACCCTAGGGACAGCCCCGGGTGCACCTCTAGCTCAAGACAGAACATTTGTAGTGATAACTATAATTAGAAGCTGGAAATTAGAAGCTGGAGTTGTACAAATGAAGTTAACAAAAAAACACAGGACACTACATATCCAGCAAAGTATAGGACTTCATTTTGAAGCGCATCAGGAACAAAAGGAATCCTAACAAATAATTTATGGAATAATACCTGGAAAATTGTTTCCAATAATGAAAAAACAGAGAAGCATTCAATATGTTTCTTCTCTGCATTTCAGAGGAAGCCAAAGGGTGTAACCCCATTAGCTGACAATGATGAAGACAAAATTATTTCCAGTAGCTAAGAAAAATGTTAAATAGTAGCTGCTATCGTGTTAAACTGAAGTTCTGAAGAATTTACAGCCAAGTTTTAAAAGAGCTGCTTCAGAGCTAATTTGGAGCATTAATATTTATTTTCAGTAAGATTTGGAACACTAGGAAGTTCCAAAGAACCAGAAAAAAACCCCCTAATTTACGTCAATATCCAAGAGAAAAGGATTAATGGGATGACCGGTCTGACTCTAAACCTTGGCAAAACAACAGATTAGCTGAGAGAAGATTTGATTAATAAAGAATTAATTACAGAATTACAGAGGGTTACAGAATTAATGCAACCAGCATAGGTTTACAGAAAATAATTCTAATTTAACTTGATATCATCAACTAAACTTGTAAAAAAGTAATGATATTGATGCAGCTGACTTCTGGTACTGCACACTTTGATTAATAATAAAACAGAATGAGACAATCAACATGATACACACAAAATAGATTAAAATGGGTAAGTCTCAATTACAAATGGAGAAACATCATTGAGCAGATGTTTCTAGTGTAGTCTACAGGGATCAGGTCTTAGCCCCATGCTATTTAATATTTTTATTCATGACCTAGAATAAAACAAAATCATTATTGATGAAGATTGCAGATGACACAAAGATTGAGTGACTGGTAAAAAATGAAGGGAATAGGGCACGGGCACAGACACAGAGCTATCTCGATAAGCTCAGCTGAATCAAATGAACTATTTAAATACTGTCTGATGAAAGGAATACGTTTAGTAGGGGTGCAACACCAATAAAGATTTCTGCGGCTGATACCAATAGCTAATTTTTAAGAAGGCACATTGGCCGATACCAATCTGATTTCTGATACCCAGCTCAGCAGCATGGAGAGCTGCCTTCAGCTGGTAAGTCTGGTGTGGTGGAAGGGGAGGGGGAGGGACTGGGGGGAGGCAGATCAAGGCCCCTGAAATTAAGGAAGGTGCGGGGTTGGGGCAGGGGCTGAGGCAAGTGCTGCCCAGCTGGGGTGGGGTAGATGGGTGCAGCACGGTGCTGCTGCTCATCCAGGGGGTGTGGGGAGGGAGCAGCCCCTGCTGCTGCATGCCACTTATGTGGGAGCTGCTGGTCCAGCGGCTCATCCAGTGCTTGCCTGCTCATCCCGTGGCCCTCACCACTGCTTCTGGAGGGCACGGGGGGGGGGTGCCCCTGGATCTGTGTGAGGCGGGGTGGGCTGGGGCAGGCTGGTGCTGAGGCTGTGCCAAGCTCTTCCTGGTGGGGTGAAGCTGTGCTGGGAAAGGGCTATGGAGAGGTGGGGGGCTGCAGCCACAAATTCTCTATGGTACATAGAGACTAAAGGAACTCAATTTATTCACCTTGTTAAAGAAAAGGTTGAAGGGTAAATTGATCACACTTTACACACCTATCTAAGGAAAACAAAGTTGATAACAGAGAGCTCTTAAATCTTGGTATCAACTTGGTATCTAGTTCCTTTATGATCTGCCTTGGTGCTGGAGAATCACTGAAGTCCCATGGGGTACCCAAATCCATTAGACATGCTTGGAGTATGCTTAGCTTGCACTGACAGCACTGAATTCACCTCCAAAATAACAGTGGTGTTAGTGCTGCTGCTCACCTTTTGTTCAACACCCTACTAGTCAGAGCACTTGCCCAGAAAGTAGAAGACCTAGATTCTAGGCAGCTTGAAGTAATTTGAACCTCTGGGCTTTAGAGCATGCTCTTCACCCCTAATCGCTGCCACTGTAGTTGGGACACTGGGCAGCCAAGAACA